TAACCTCTTTTTAAGTTTTGTGGATATTATACATGGTTATGCTGAGGATATGTCGGCCAATTTCCACTGGAAATGCCTTTTGGTTAAACTGTCATTTGCACTGCAAATTGTTTATATAACTTTAATGCACTTAAAAAGCTGCTTGTGTAAGTGCAAAATACATTGATGGGTTTTTTTTTTTGCACAAATAAAGTTGAGGAGTTGTAAAGTATTTTGTCTAGTGTCAATTATATTGTTATCGCAAATTTTCAAATGTATATCGTGATAGATATTTTTGGTCATATCGCCCTGCTCTACTACAGAATACCAGGTTCCATTCCTATGAGCAAAGAACAGGAAACTGAGGCTACAATTCACACGAGCTCAGGAAAGCTGGACAACAGAAGATTGGACAAACACTGCCTGGCCTGATGAAACTTCAGACGGTGGGTCAGGCAGTTCAGGCTGCTGGTGGTGGTGTAATTGTTTTCTTGGCACACTTTGTTTAACACCACAGCCTACCTGAATATTGTTGCTTACTATGTCCATCCCCTTATAACCCATGTTATCTAGTTAAAAGCCAACTGCAGCGACTAAAGTCATTTTGTACCATATAAATAAAATAAAATAAAATTGAATTGAATAGAAAACGAGTTCGGTGCACTCAAAAGGACTTAACAGTAACTAGATCTCAATCCAATAGAGCAACATTGGGATGTGGTGGAATGGGAGATTCACATCATGGATGTGCAGTCGGCAATTATGCAGCAACTGCTCGATGATGTAATGTCAACATGCTGCTGAATCTGTGCCATGAATAATTAATGCAGTTCTGAAAGCAAAGAGGGTCCAACATGTTACTAGTAAGGTGTAACTTTAAAAATGTGGCAGAGTGAGTGTATATGGAAAAAAATTATTTATAAAGTATTTTTGGCACCTACATCATATTTTGTCTTATTTCAAGGCCTTTAAGAGTGACACAGATCAGTTCGATGTAATTTAAAGTGTAAACATTGTGATTGTCAGTGAATGGTTTAATTTTCTCTTTCCTGCAATTTCATGTGCAGACGCATGATTCAAAATTCAATTACTCAATAACAGATTGTAAAATAAATTACTGCATTAGTCAATGAAGGCACAATACATTACTATGAAATTGTGAGGTAATTCAGGAAAATGGTTCAAATGTGACTAATAGTTGTTCCTGCTTTAACAATAAAATGGTTGCATGGGTTATTTTTATGCCATTCCAGCAGTGTTTATTTTCCTATGTTGTCTTAAATTTTTTCATAAAAATGACTTTGCCCAAACATTTAATGAATCCACGTTTATAACAAAGCCTGGGTGTTTGATTTTCTGTTGCACTGGCCTAAATCGAGGAGGAGATAAATGGCGTGAGCGGGTTCCCTGCTGGGTTTTTGTTCCGAAAGCGGTACAAAATAAGCAAATCACTGTGAAAATGGCATTTCAACCTGCAACAGCAAGAGCAGTCTGCTAATGTAACAAGAAAAAGGATGGAAATATATTTTCTGATAAGAAACAGAAGCGCTTTAATGACCATTTATAACATGAGGATTACATTTACAAAAACACAGAAATGTCCTGAGGTCAAGTTTAAAGCGTTTGGTCAGCTATGGAGACAAAATATAACCTTCTACAGTTGACATATCGGAACTATAGTTATGATTTGGATTGATTGGCATTGTGTGATTTTTCACTTACTATTACTACGACTAATATTTTATTTTTAATAGGCAATTTGTGAATATATGTATATGTATTTTTTTAAACTTGAAATCCCACTGAGCTTCTTCTTTTGATATAAATTTGATCACATACAGTAATGTTCAGGTTAGATCTCTATTTATCACACAAAAGCATTTTTGTTATGGACCCTCATCATCATCAAGAGTCAGGTGCATAAACTTCATAAACAAGAAAACGTGGAAGTTATGGTTTGATGACCCAAAAGCCTGAAAGTCAAAATCATGAAATCAGTTCATATAAATTATACATTTATACAAGGCAAAACTTGTTTTTTACAATAAGGCATTTCCACTAATGCAGAATTGGTTCTGTTCTGGTTCAAAATCTAAATTTGAACTCTTCCACTTACGTAATAATTAAGGATTTAAGGAAGAGATTCATTTGCGAGCTTTAAGGATTCTAGCCAAGCAACTATTGTTTACCCCATTGGCAGATTTTTTTCTCTCAAATTTTTGTCAGTTACATATGGCTAATTTCAAGTAGAGCTCTTTTGCAGTGTACCCTGTAACTGGTAAATAAAGCTCAAGATGAGCTGAAATATCTTATTAAGAAAAAGTTATTTTCCTAGAATGAGCTTAATTTTCTTGTTAAGAATATGTTTTGTTTTTAGACAAAAAAGAGAAAACATGTCCATAAACAAGGTTTTTTTTACTTTCTTGAAAATCATTTTTTGCAGTGTAGGGTTAATGACACTCTTCTTCATGCTGAATGAGTTCAAATTATATCGTCATATATTTAGATTTAAAAATAAATATGACACTTATGAGGTAAATGAGGCAACATGGGTTTAGTCCCACATAATAAGCTAATCTCACACGAAAAGTTAGAATTGGTACTTACTACTTTACAATGCTAAAATTCATCCTCCTTTTTGCTAACTTTGTTTCCTTTTGCTGTGATTGCTCACCTTGTTGTATTTTCTGTGCGATAACCTTCAAAATCATCTATTAGCACTTATTTCTGCATTATAACATCATTACTGATATCATATTTACATATTTTTCAACCTGTTATTAACAAGTAATCATATTATTACTAAACTATTAAAATTCTCTTTTGCCTTTGTCTGCATTTTTAATGTTTTTACTTTATTTGTCTTTGTTGTGGGCATTTGAATTATCTGACTATAAGCTCCAGCAGTAAAGTTTGATAATTACATGGTACTGCTTTTCCTATTGCCACATTATTAGCAAGCAGTTCATGCTGAAAACCACTTTGTCCTTGATGTAAATATGTAATTGTGTATGTTTCTGTTTTGTGTCTTGTGTACTGTTTGTTGTAAATGTGTCTTTCTTGCTGCTGTTACACCCAAATTTCCCCTTGTGGGACAATTAAAGGATTATTCTCACTAAATCACAGGTCCTCAGCCACGATGACTTACTCGATCTGTTGTGCTTAAATGGGAGAAAAACATGGAAAAGTCGTGTCTCACCTGGTTATTATATATGTCTGCACAACATCCATATTCTGCTGATGTTGCTGTGCTGTACTACAAAAAATGCTTTCAATCTGTTGCTAAAACCTTGCAGAGAAGCAATAGAAGGTCACCCATTGTGCCTGTTTTCTGACTCTTTCTGACTCTGTCCTACAAAACTTTTCTTGAAAGGCAACATAGAACCGCCAAAAATCCACATAGAAATGTTATCAAGTCGTCTAAGATGCTCATGCTCCCAAAAATTAAAGGAATATTTTGAGAACAATCTGATCTTAATGGGAAAATAAATCATGCTGGATTTCTATACTAATATGAACTGGATAATAGGATCCATTCCTTCTTCCTCCAGCAACTGCGTGCAAATTCTTGGACATGAGGGATATTGTTGTCCTCTAGGAGGAACCCAGGAACCACTGCACTAGCATGATGTCTGACAATACGCCTAAAGACGAGATACTGAACGACGTTACACTTTCCATAGCTTCTCCAGACCGCTTCACATCTGTCACACATGCTCATGGTGACCCTCCTCTTATCTGTTAAAAGCACAGGGTACCAGTGATGGACCTGCCAGTTCTACTGTTCTATGCCAATCAGGCCGGGGGTGAGCAGAGGGCTCACTACAGGGCGCCGAGCCCTCATACCACTCTCATGAAGTCTGTTTCTGATTGTCTGGTCTGAGACATTCGCATCACTGGCCTGCTGGAGGTTATTTGGTAGGACTCCGACAGTGCTCATCCTGTTCCTCGTAACCCGGTCCTCCTGATGGGATAAGGGCCTTCTACAGCCCTGTACATCTATCCCAGAGTAACTGCCTGTTTCCTGGTATCTCCCTCCATGCTTGTGTTAGTCAGTCAGAAAGAATCAGGAGGATAAAAATGTCAGCGGCCCCCACCTGTAAAACCATTCCTGTTTTAGGGGTTGTCTCATTGTTGCCCCTCCAGTGCACCTGTTGTTTATTTCATTAACATCAAAGCAGCCGAAACTGATTAACAACCCCCTCTGCTACTTTGCTGACCAGATCAATATCCCACAGGTTTAATAGACTTGATTGATGCTATACTCTGACTAAAAAGTGAGAGTAGTGTATGTTCTTTTCTATTTCCTCTGCTCTGATTAAACTGATTATCAAGCTTAGACAATTTTACTTCCTCAAACTTCTGTACATGACTGTATAAATTCTTGTTCCTCACAACAGTGCCCACTGCAGTCACCAGAGACACGCTGAAGTCTGGCAAGTCGAGAAACACGAGATCATCTGACAGGTTGTAGCAAACACTTCTGTCCTTGTTATCTAAGCACATAGAGGTAGACCTGAAAGCGAGTGCTTTCAAAGGTGTGTAAACATGCCTGTGTATGAAGGTATATTAAGTACAATACAACAAACTGCAGCATGACGCTCGTGGTAAAAACACGTTTGCTTTTCTTCCCTTTTCCAAATAAGTTAATCTGGAGCACCTGTCTGGTTCTATGATTGCTCCCTCGTCAGAGGTTGGCGCAGATCTCAGGGGTGAATAAAATGAAAATAAAATTACTACTGATAGATAATGACTGCCAAAACTATCAAAGTAAATCCCTTATTATCCTTTTTGCTTAATTGGGGTTTTTAACCTTATTAAATCTGCTCCCTGGAGATGGTAAAACAGCCCCAGTTTCTTTTTGGATGTGCCTGCCAGTGTTTGCATACTGACGTTTTGACGTAGGGGTCGGAGAAGCCGTTGGCATCCATGGCGGCAAGGTGAGCACAGCGTATGATGCCCACTACCAGGCAAGACTTCTGGGTGTTGTACTTCAGAGAAATCATGATTCGTCCACGTTCCTCCAGAGACTTGTCTTCCGTCTTGACCTGCAGGGTGGAAATGAGAAGATTTAGGATTCAAAACCAGCTGAGCTTTCAAAAGACTGACAATTATGCCAACAAGCGTCTTGGCCAAAAATCAAACGCAATTATTGAGGAAAGTCAAGCGACTCACAACAAAAGGATGATGGCGGTGTGACCACAAACATCTTTAACATACAGTCTTTTATTTTTATCAGGCTTGGATGAACTTTTTCTGTCACCTCTAGGTCAGGAGTTTAACTACACATGTAATCTCTGCGATATAATGTAGAAAAAGTGCAGTTTCAACAATATGTCTCACTTTTTTTACATGACAAAGAGATGCAGCGATAGCAAATGAAAGAAATCTCTTGGGTTTAAATAGTAAGAAATTAATGAATTAAAGTTCTAGTAGCTCATTGTTTAGACCAGCGGTCCCCAATCCCCGGGCCACGGGCCTGTACCAGTCCATGAGTCGTTTGGTACTAGGCCACGGGAGTTGAGGCTCGGGTGTGAAATTTATGGTTTTCAGGGTTTTTAATCATTATTTTTTTAGCGTTCTTATCATTAACTCGTTTTCCCTGGGTCTTTTTTTGTGTGTTATGAGTAAATCTTCTTTTTTTTGATACCGGTACTGGTTTTATTTTGTTGTATTTATCCGCGACACCTTGAAGGCCTGTTTGTGAAAATATTGTCGGACATAAACCGGTCCTTGGCGGAAAAAAGGTCGGGGACCGCTGGTTTAGACTGTCCTGTAGTTATAAAACAGAGTTTTTGATAATTTGTACAAAACTTTTTCCTGTTTGGATCCAATGTGTAAAAGCTACATTTCTATAGTCTTTTCTGTCATATATTCGTTTATCTATTACTTATTAGGTGTGGTATGAATGGTAGTGAGCGATGTCTTTATCAGTAGGAAAAGCAGTAAAACTTATGAAAATACAGTTAGAAGTCTAAAATTTATGCCCTCATTTACATTTTCCAAATCCATCCAGTGAGCTGGATTTAAGTCTTTGCTAGGCGGATTCCCGGATCTAAACAATATAACTTAATCCTTAAAATTCTCCTTATCCCATGACTTAAATCAAACTGGGAATGCAGTTTGATATAAGTTGATTTAAGGTCTTCTGCTGGAAAAAAGGGAAATCACAGGCTAACCATCTCTCTTCTTGTGTCCACCTCCGCTTTCTAAAATTGAAACATTTTCACTTACATAAGCCGAAATGCAGTGAGAGACGTGATTAAACCCCATCTCATCTGACCCTAGAAACTAGAAGCTAGAAACTTCCAGGATTTTGGAGGAACATCTTTGTAACCATGCCATGTCCTTGGCACAGAGACTGCATATTGCTCGTTTATTATTTTGAAGGGTCCCTGAATTACCCCGAATTTATTAAAAAGAAATTAGATGTCTTGGCCTTTGCCTCCCTCATTGCCACTACAATCATCCACCTACACTCAAGTCTTCAAAATCTGTCCGAGTCCTACTAAGAAATGTCACATTGGTGTCTTTCCTTTTATGTTTTGGTAAAATACTTGCAGCCCCCCATTGATTACACACGTACTGCTTTCCCATGTTATGTGCTTGAATTCTCAGGGATGTTGAACCTGTGCTGCACAGCTGCTTATATAAAAGCAGTAAAGCATTACCTCATCAGGATCCAGTGAAGGAGTGGGAGGACAGGTCTTTCTTTTTTTTTTACCTTCTTTTAATTTTACCTTAGTCTATTCTTGGCTTGCTCTGGCTCTTTGTAGCCAGGCTTCAGTCTTTGCCAGGACATTTCTGTTCACCATGTAACCTGTAAAGTTTCCAGCACCTACAGTCCTAGCTGTCTAGACAAGTACGTGCCTTAAAAATCAGCCAAACACTGATTGGCTGATTGATCCCATCTCCGCTGTAGATGATGAGTTAATGGCCTCATCAAAATTAATTTACCATGTTCCTCGAGACAAGAAAAACATCGGAACTGACACATGATGTTAAAAGTGTGTCTCCAAACGCGGCACCCCACTCCCCCCCCCACCACAGATTTCTATATAAACAAATTCTCTCTTTAAACAGGAAGTCTCATTCTTAGGCTGCTAGATAGCATCAGTCATTCTGACACCATTGCAACTGCATCAATCATAATCATGCACAGTACACAACTTGATAGCTTGTTAAATGATCACAAGGTGCAGTCAAAATGTGATGACATGCCTCAGGAACAGTAGCAAAATAGGACAGAGAAACTAAAGAGACCACATCCTGGCCACTGAAACGTTCTCACCGCATCACTGGCTACCAAGTGGAGGCAGGAGGCTCACAATGGGTTCTGCAAGCTGCTGATACACAGCTCCACTTTCTCATTGTGCAAATCAAGTATTTTCTCCACAATTTCTTCCCACTGTGCTTAAAAGTCCGTGAATTTTCCAATTCTCCCTGCATCCTGGGAGAAAGCAACACAATATGTAGCTTTCTTGGCACAAAAATAACATTACAGCATTAAAAAAAAACAGGCTTCTTGAATGGTTTTGGATGGATTTGTGTATGTGCGTATATATACATTTGTTTTAAATAAAACATTTTTTTATAAACAAAAGAATAAAATGTTGTCTGAATAACCTTATCTCTCTAGATCTACCCACATTGTTAGCACATTGCTCAAAAAAATTAAACACATATTTTTTAACATTCATTTATTCATTTACTCCGTGGCCCTTAGAGGTCAAACGGAAAGAAAACGCCAGCAAATTTAAAAAAATGTTGCAAAAGCACACAAAACACGACATAAGTTGAATGAAACACAACGGAAATGGAAAACAAAACAAATCAGTGAGCAAATGTTCTTATGTTCTATTTCTATTGTATTTTATTCAACTTCAGTTGTATTTTTGGTGCTTTTTGCAGCATTTTTCTTTTTTCCTGTGTTTTTTTAAAGTTTCAGTGTGATCCAATAATCCAATGAAAATAACTTCACAAATTTTCCTAGAAGGGAGATTGGATTTATTATACTCTTTGCTAGTTCCATATTGTACTCTTGGACTCTCCTGCAGTAGCTTTGCATGCTTCACTGTTCAAAAAT